TCAATCATCCAATTCTTGTCAATCGTTTCATTCGAGTCTTTGTATAAAATCTTGTTTTCATGAAAGTTAGTCCACATTGAGAGCCAGTAATCACTTCCAGTGTATACCGATTGTGTCAACACATTAGTCATGACCAGTAATGGCAACAAAACTATCCCGGCACCAAACCTAAGGTAAGTCCAGTATATTTTAGAAGACGATGCTTTGTCAGCACTATATTCTTCGTCTTTATCTTTGACCACAGATTCCTCTCCTTTGATATCTTCATTATATGACTCGTGAAGTGATGAGAGACACGAACTTATGATTGAAAATGAAGACAAAGACGATGTCTTATATCTCTGTTCTGAGTATTGTTTGGATTCGTCTTCTTTGCGAAGGTCTGAATCGCCGGCGAATTTGATTAAATCGATTCCTATTTATTAGATTTAAATTGGATTTAAATATAATTCAAAGACATGTCACCAATAATCAATTAATAAAGACCTTGTTTCAATAGCTCTGTATAGCTTCCAATGGCTAAACACTTTCCATCGTTTAACACAAGTATCTGTTGCGCGGCTTTAATGAACTGCAACTGATGTGTCACCAAAACCACACAATTCCTCCGAAGGTATCCTTTAATGCATTTCTCGAAGATATGTTTAGCCACTGAAGAGTCCACTGCAGACAACGGGTCGTCCAATAGGTAACAGTCGGCTTCGGAATACAGGGTTCGGGCGAGACTTACCCGCGCCCTCTGACCTCCACTCAGAGTAACCCCTCTTTCGCCCACAACCGTCTGATCCCCGGCCTCTAGTTGTTTGAGATCCTCCTCGAGAGCGCACACGTGAATCACTTCTCTGTACTTTCTGTCGTCATATTTATGGCCAAAGAGTATGTTTTCCCTAACAGTTCCGCCAAAAATCCAAGACTCCTGACTCGCATATCCTAACCGTCCGCTCACTGATACCCTTCCGTCTGATGTCTTCAATTCGTTGAGTATTGACATCAAAACGGCTGTCTTTCCCGAACCCACGGAACCGATAATAACAGTCAGTTCTCCTGGATTTACATCAAATGAAATGTTGTTTAATATTTGCGATATATTTCCATCTTTGCTCTTATATTCTGCGCTAATGTTTTGCACAGAAATGTATGAATTATTAATATTGTCTTCATTGGTGTTTAGATTTTCTGTACAACTTCTCCCTTTTCCAACTGATTTCTTATCACTATTTCCACATACCTTTCCACTCTATCAATAATATGACAAATGATATGCTGTACATGTTCTGTATATTTATTATATAGTATTTAAAATTCTGTTTCAATGTCTGAATACTTACATTGCATTCAATTTGATTTTCATAGAAACCCTCTAATAATAAGAATTTCTTTTCAAACAAAATAAAATTTATAAACATTTAATTTTTTATAAATTAATTCATTATCCATTTACCTCAATTCTTTGCACTGAAATCAGTGCCTCGGCGCCGGTAGATATCCCCAATGGGAAGTATTGTGTCATAACTGTCCGCAATTGATTGATAAGGACTATACTGACGAAAACATTCTCAACATTGAGTTCACCGCCGGTTAGTATGAATACAATTAAACACAAAAATGTCATTATTTTAGATGATGTGTAATATAGCGACGAATTAATGCTCTTTAAAATCATTGTCTTATGAATGGCTGATATTTCCTTAACTCTGGCCATCGATACTAACTTCGCGAACGGCTTCTCCCAGACATACATTTTAATGACTCGCATCGCAGGTATTATTTCATTCATTAGTTTCAGTCTATTGTCAGTCAATAGCGAAGACTTTGTACGAAACTTCTTGAACATGTGTCCCATAAATAGCTGGAATGGTATGTAGACCACCATATATGCAATGCCGGCCAGACATGACACTCCGATTTGAGACCAGAGTATACCAACGATGACCAGCAACTGAATGGGAGCCGTGACCAGAAAGTGCACATAATTGAGACTTATATCAAACCGGTAGACATCACTGGATAATAGGTTGACAATTGTGCCAATTGTGGTGCTTCTCAGGGAACTGTTTGATATGTTAAGTGCCTTATTGTATATAAGGTAAGTGATGGCCACTCGCACCTGCATTCCCAGCCTGTCCTTTATAAAGAAGTACGGGTGCGATATGAATGCGTTTATGTATTGGGTTACGCATATGGCAGCCGCACAATAGTATACGTAAGCCCTGTAGGAGTTCCACTCAAACGGCGAGTCTTTGTCTACAATGCCTTCATTGACCTGTTTTTGCCATTCATTAAGGGATCTAATGAGGAACCCGAGGGTCACCGGTAGAGCCAGTCTTATGACACAATTCTGAGTAAAAATAATGATTTAAATTATTGTATCAATTAACTCAAGAATAATCACAATTAATAAATTAGCCAGTCCAATGTATGTGAAAATTGTGCCAAATGTGCGCAAACACGCCATTAATAGTCTCGGCTTTTGTCCCCTTTTATGTCTTTCCAACTCTTTTTCCCAATTTCTGTATTCATAATTAGTTTGTATTTTAATTAATTAGCATTACACTAGTAAAATCATTTTAATTATTTATATAAATAAAACCGACTTAGCGAGTCTAGCTCCCAAAATATGAGATTTATCATTTACTGGGCACCGGTAGCAGTCATTCACTTCAATTGGTTTGCCATAAAACTTTTTAAAGAATGGCACTGTCCACCTGGAAATAGACAAATAAATATTTAATATTTAAATATATTAATATAATTTTAAAATATAAATTTACCAGAATATATTTTTTGATAGAAAATTTGCTTGATCATAACTTGGATCAGATTTCATTTTTAAAAAAATAAACTCAGTGAGAATATTCTTAATAATCTGAGATTTATTTTCTAATATATTATTCCATAAGTAACCGTAAAGTGTTAAAATAATGTTTAAAGATTTTGCTTAAATAGTATTGTGGCAATAATTAAAATTTTTATTACATATTACAGGTTATTCCATTAAATATTCAATTATTTAGCTGTTAGGGGAACTTGCAACACTTTGTAATAATAATGTAATTTTTATTGTTATAAACTTTCATAACTAACTTGTGTCCTATTGTCATAAATATAACTATCTATATTATTTTATAACAATTTTACTTTAATTTGTTTAATTATATTTCTTATCATAAAACTTATTTTTGATTTACAGAAACATTACTGTTATCTATAGTAAATGTTAATTACAATGATAAGATAATTAATAGCATATTAATAATCTAATTAGTAAGCAAAACTGTCTCTTTTAAATAAAAAATTAAATAATAATTATTTTAAAGTGTGGTCGTAAAATATGATACAAATGTATTATAATAATCCAGTGTACTCTTAAAACAGTTAAAAATACAATAATTTAATTTACAAAACTTCACTGTACTAAAGTAAGTATATAAAATTAATTAAAAAAATAAATGTCATCTCACTCTCAACATACACTGATCAAGATCCTGTACTTAACTTTTACATATCTGTATTTCATCAATATTTTATTTATTTATTCATTCATTATTATGATTTTGGTTAACTTTATTTAATATTTTAAAAACCACTGTGTAAGGTACAATAATAATATACAGTTTCATTTACTACAATTTTTTGATGTCGGTAATGTGAATACAAAATACATAAAATTAACCAGATAACAATAATACACTGTCACATGAGGACAGGAGGACAATGAAATTTATTTATATTCTGTGCCAACAATTCTTTGCCAATAGTTAAGGAATTCACACAAAAAGTATTCAACAATTTCTGATTGAATTGCTTTCCATACGCCGCCAAATACTTGACATAACAGTTGCAATAGATATCGTTGTCGTAAAACGAGACAAACTTAATCATGGGATCAAACAAAACACTTTTGAATATATTTTCTGGCAATGAATTGATTTTGTTGTGATCAAAGCTTATGAGTATAATATTGTCTTTTTTATTTCGTTCATTATTAATCCAGTTCTCATCAAAACTACTTGCAGTCAATTGATTGTAATCCAGGTATACCTCCAACTGTTTGACACTGTCTTTGAGTTCAATAGTCAGAGCGTTTGAATGGATTTTGGAAATCAAATTATATTTAAGGTTTAATTTCTGCAAATTTGTTAACTTTGCCAACGAATAGCTGCCAATAGTTTTGACGGATGTGTTACTTATCGTAAGACTATATAAGTTATCATTTGCGCCAAAAGCAAACTCCGGTATGTCTTGAATGCCCACATTTCTGATGACAATCTGATTCCTCGGACCCAAGAAGTTCACGAACTGGAAGACGTCACTTGACTTAAGTAGCGGTGAATTACTTAATTCAAAGTCCAATACTACTCGTATATCCGATTGATCCGAGAGGTGGTTATACAGACTGTTAAAACTGATCTTGCTTAGTTTTAGGTTATTTGTAATGTATAGGTATTTGAGTGGTATGTGTGTAAACATAATGGTGTCTATTGTCTCAATAGACGTGTCATTTATGATGACTTTTGTGAATCTCTTATTCATTTCGCTTATGATTTTAAAATTAAATTGTGTAAAATCGGTGATATTCCTACCGGTGCACAGTAAATTGGGATTGTCATAAATTACTGGCACACAGGTGCACGGGTAGATTTGTAGGGCATCGGGACATCCATTTACGTGATTACAAATCGTATAAATATAGATAGTATGCAACAATAATATTATATTCACTGTTTTTGAATGAAAAATAATAATAATTTGAATAATATTTGAAGTTTGTAAAACACTAAATCAATACAAATAAAGTTATTCAAAATGTTAATTAAATTAATTAATGTTAACTAATTCTATATTTTAATCTTTATAAATTATTTTAATTAGTTAAAGATAACTTTATGTAAGTAATGAACAATAACTACATTAACAAAAATCATTTATTAACTTACCTTTCATTGCAGTATAAATAAGTAATTATGCAGACTAAGTTAACAAGACAAATAATCAATTTAAAATGAAAACTATATAAATCAAAATGCAGTTATCAATTAAATATTGAAGTAGTGTCTGTTTTGTGACATTAAACATTGTCAATATTTTTAATCTATAAATCAGATTTAAACTTAGTGTTTATCACTAAGCTTATATAAGCTTATTATAAGTAAATGTGTTATCGTAAAAATAATGAAAGGCTGTATTTAGCAAGGTATAAGAATTGGCTATAAACCGGAATATTCTGGTTATTTAAATTGAATTAAATTTTATGAAGTATAATTGCATTATAAATTTGAAATTATATTACATAAGTATTTTATGGTTAATATAAATATAATAAAATAAAATATAATTGTTTGAGAAATAATTTTTGTAATAAATTTTAAAGATTATAGTAGTCACTATGCTATTTACTAACTTATAAATAATCAAACAAATGAAACAAGGTAAATATATTTATATATGTGAGATGGTACTGTAAAGGTATTCATTCATTGTAAAAAATCATAAATGTTCATAAATTCCCTAAATGCACAAAGGTAAATTAATAAATTCTTTACTGTACTTTTAAACAATTTGATGAACAATGATAAAACACATAATTGCCATAAATTCTAAACCTTTTTATTAAAACAATATAATTTTATTATAAGTAATTTACAATTTGTTAAACTACTATATAAAGGTAAAGTTTCACAAAGAATTTCATAAATAACAAAGTCTACAAATATGTGGCTAATGTGTAAAAATTCATATTATAAAAATATGATTCCGTAATTTACAATTAATTTTAATAATCAAAATAATCATGAAAAAGCCTGCTAATTTTGATACTGCTAATTTAATTTCCAAGATCTGTTTTTGGTATGTTAATTATAGTTTTTATTATAATTAAATCATAATATTATAACTTAAATACCGAAAGTAATGAAATTAGAAAAACTAAAAAATAATGAAAATGATACTCAATAATAAACTGTGCCAGGTGGACATTCCCATTCTTTAAGAAATTTTACGGAAAACCAATTGACGTGAATGACTGTTACCGGTGCCCAATAAATGATACTTCAAACAAATTGGGCTCTCAATTGGAAAAGTATAAATAAAAATTATATTATAATTATAAATCTTGTATGATGTTTATATTTGATTCATTATAATTGATGTGAATTCAAATTAAATACAGAAATTGGATGAAAGAGTTGGAGAAACAAAAGAGGGGACAAAAGCCTAGTCTATTGAAAGCATATTTCCGTACAATTGGACCCAAGCTTCTGGTCATTGGATTCTTAGATTTAATAATTGTAACAAAGAGCAATTAAAACTTATTTTAAACAAGATACTGATAACTAATACTATTTTACTAAATAAAGCATATTTCCGTACAATTGGACCCAAGCTTCTGGTCATTGGATTCTTAGATTTAATAATAGTAACAAAAATCAATTAAAACTTATTTTAAACAAGATACTGATAACTAATACTATTTTACTAAATTAGAATTCAGGTTTGGGATTGGGTTTACCGGTAATTTTAAACCTACTCATTCAGTACGTAACTGAATGGCAAAAACAAGTCAAAGATAATAGTATTGATTCAAATGAGTGGAACTCCTATAAGGCTAATATATACTATTGTGCGGCTGCCATATGTATCAACCAGGCTCTTTACGTATATTCAGCTCATTACTACTATTTTATAAGAGACAGGACAGGTATGCAAACACGAGTGGCCAGTACTTATGTCATCTACAATAAGGCCCTTAAGATCTCGAACGGAGCCCTCAGGACCACAACTTTGGGCAAAATTGTGAACCTATTATCGAGTGATATCTATCGCTTTGACTTATGTGTCAATTATCTCCATTCCCTCATCACTGCCCCAATTCAGATGGTCTGCATTATTGTTGTACTTTGGTATCAGATAGGAGTGTCATGTTTGGTGAGCGTAGCCTATATGGTATGCTATACACCATTCCAGCTATTTATGGGACACATGTTCAAGAAGTTTCGTACAAAGTCTTCGCTATTGACTGACAATAGACTAAAACTAATGAATGAAATAATACCTGCGATGCGAGTCATTAAGATGTATGTCTGGGAGAAGCCGTTCTCGAAGTTAGTATCGATGGCCAGAGTTAAGGAGATATCAGCCATTCATAAGACAATGATTTTAAAGAGTATTAACTTATCCTTATATTTCACATCATCAAAAATAATGACATTTTTATGTTTAATTGTATTCATACTAACCGGCGGTGAATTGAATGCCGAGAATGTGTTTGTATCCATGGTTTGTATCAATCAATTACAAAATGCAATGACAAATTGCTTTCCATATGCTATATCATACGGTGCCGAAGCACTGATTTCTGTTAATAGGATTCAGGTAATTACATTTAGAAATGTAGCCTAGTTTGTTTATTAATATTGATTTTCTTATAAAATAATTCAGGAATTCCTAACATCAGAAGAATATGAACATAAGAATCACAATAAAATAGAGGTTAGAGTTGTTGTCATTTAAATTAAACTTTTGAAGAATTAATAAATAATCTATATAAAAGGCTCATTTTAAATATTTATTGTAATTAATAACTTATAGAATGGAAATAAAGACAATTTATTGAAGGAATCCGTTGAAGAAATAAAAGCAAACATTTCATTGAATAATGTTTGCGTGGATTCAGAGAAAGGAATTAAAATATTAAACAACATTTCATTTGATGTAAATCCGGGAGAACTGACTGTTATTATCGGTTCCGTGGGTTCGGGAAAGACAGCGGTTTTGATGTCAATACTCAACGAATTGAAGACATCTGGCGGTAGGATATCAGTGAGCGGACGGTTAGGGTATGCGAGTCAGGAGTCTTGGATTTTTGGCGGAACTGTTAGAGAAAACATACTCTTTGGCCATAAATATGACGACAGAAAGTACAGAGAAGTGGTTCACGTGTGCGCTCTCGAGGAGGATCTCAAACAACTAGAGGCCGGGGATCAGACGGTTGTGGGCGAAAGAGGGGTTACTCTGAGTGGGGGTCAGAGGGCGCGGGTAAGTCTCGCCCGAACCCTGTATTCCGAAGCCGACTGTTACCTATTGGACGACCCGTTGTCTGCAGTGGACTCTTCAGTGGCTAAACATATCTTCGAGAAATGCATTAAAGGATACCTTCGGAGGAATTGTGTGGTTTTGGTGACACATCAGTTGCAGTTCATTAAAGCCGCGCAACAGATACTTGTGTTAAACGATGGAAAGTGTTTAGCCATTGGAAGCTATAC